CCACGCGCTCCTTCCCCTGCCCCCCCACGCGCCGCCTGCTGGGAGCCCCCCCCCAGCCAGTACCGTGCCCCGCCCCTCACAACACCCCCTGCTGGGAGACCCTTCCCCCCTGGCCAGCTCTCCTGCTGCTCCCACAGGGAAAGAGAAGCCAAGGAGGCAGGAGAGCTCACGAGAGGAGATAGAGATGGAGCCGGTAAAAATAAACTGGAATTCACTCCAAATAACTCGGCAGCAACATGCCCAAAAAAGGACAGGGCCAGAGAGATCCCATGAGCGTCTGTGCTGGCCCAGGGCACCAGGGCAGCCACCTCGGGGGTCCCAGGGGCTGGGCACGGAGCCACCCTGCACCTTTCCTACGCCCGCCCCCAGCACGCACCCCCCTCACCCCTAACTCCCCACTGGGAATGCACCAATGCTGCCTCGGTTTCCCCAGCGCCCCACCCTGCTGCCATCCCCGCTCAGCTCCCACGCTAAGCCCCCCAAGGGATCCCATTGTCCAGACAGGCTGCCCCTGCCTGGCACGTCAATCCACAGCCCAGGGCAGCCGGACCTGGGGCCCCTGCGTCTCATGGAGATTTCGTTTCCTTTGGCATCACTGCTGATCCCAACACGAGGCATGCCAGGCGCATCCCCCTGGGCTGGTGCCACAGGCCGGCTCTGTGCCGCCGTCAGTCAAGACCAAGAACCCCAGAGTCACGCCCGGCTAACGCCCTCAGGCGGTGGAATCGGGGCCCAGGACTGGGCAGGATCTTTCCTTCTCCCTCTGGCCTGGGTGGCAGGACACCTGGGTTCTATTCCCAGTTCTGCCACTGACCTGCTGAGTGACCTTGGGTGAGCCCCAGCTCCTCTGTGTGACTCAGTTTCCCCTCCTGCCTCTTGGCTGCCTTATCTAGTTAGACTGTGAGCTCCTCAGAGCACAGATAGTTTCCAACTCTGCTGGTGCAGCGCCTGGCACGACGGGGCCCCGATCTCAGGTGGGGCCCCTGGGCCCTGTGGCCATATAAACCGTCCCCCTGTGTTTGCACCCGGCTCCCAGACCAGTGCCCAGCAGTTCGTGCTCCCTTTGCGCTGTGGAAGTGACTGTGCAAGGCACAGGGCTCGGGGACTCGGCCGGACACAGAGCTGACGCTGAGAAACGAGCCAGGTGGACCCCAGAAATACCCCAGTGCCAGGGATGGGACGGACCCGACTCCCACTCCAAAGCCCTCGGCGCCGAGCCTCCCCCCTCGGCAGCGCGCAACGGCCCGGCCGGTATTTGCACTAATCCTGCGCTTTGTCCGTGGCGTCGCAATGCAAGAGCGGCGAGAGCAAATCCCCCCGCGGGGAGGAATTCCGGGAACGTTTGACAGGCTTCAGCCTGGAGAACGAGGAACATGAGCAAAGCTCCCCCCGGCCCCAAAAAACAGACAGACGCAGCTAGGGACCTTTCCTGCGCCAACCAGGGCGTGAGATCCGAGCTCCCCAGCACCTGTTCATTACCCAGACTGACCGGCCTGCGACCCGCCCGGCTGGCATTTGACCAGCTCAGCCCAAAGGGATTTGATTTTACGAGAGTTTTTATCTTCTCCGGGCAGCGACCTCCCCTCCAGAGACACCCAGGGACAGATTGGATCTAAGTGCATGGTGCCAGCGAGGGCACTGCTCTGAGGACGCTCACAGCAGCCAGGCACTGCCGGGGCTCCGAATGGGGCTCCGCTGCCAGGGGCCCAGCCCTGGGAGCTCCCCGAGGAGGTCACACTGCCAGCGCCCACCGGCAGCTCTGCGGAGAAGCCAGCCGCTGCCCCCGAATCCAAATCAGAGTTGGCAGAAACCGTGACAGGCTGGGAGCCAACAAAGATGGCGCCGGAGGCGTGATAAGGGACAGCACATTCCCCTGGTGCCGCTGCGCCCACGCCAGCCCTGCGTCACCACCAACAGGGGGCACTAGCACCACCAGCCATGACTCACCCGGCTTTGAGCAGCTGCCAGGAGCCCCCAGTCCCCGCCCCCGATGTCTCAAGGGGGGGCACTGAAGAGCCCCTGGTGAGCATTATAAGACTACAAGCCTCACCCCCCTTTCTCACCCCATGTTTTGCTGTTGCTCTGTGCACTCGATGCGCCCCACCCCAGAGGTGGCACCATCCCAGGGACGCAGCGCAGGGCGAGTTTGCAAAGGGGCTAGAGAAGCACCATATTCCCACCCCCGTGGAGCAGACGTGGGGCCGATGCTGCTGCTGCCGCTGGGGCAGGCCCGGGGGGTTCTCAGCCTCCCACCCCCACGGATCAGAACTATCGATTTCCTCTCCCGGCTCAGGCTCCGATCCCTGCTGAATCATTTACCAGGGAGGGGGGAACCCAGGGATTGGGCCCAGGGCAGCTCGCAGAGTCTGGGCCCCTCGACTAAATGGCCCATTAATGATTCTGAGCAGGGCCCACAGCTCCATTCATATTCATGAGGGCTTTGTTTAACCCTTCGCAGGCTCCCTCGGCAGCAGGGCACACACTGGCCCAGCTGGGAGCTGCCCACGTCCCTTGCCCCAGGGGGCCCTGTCCCTGCACCCAGCGAGAGCCCAGCGGGACACCGCCAGGCTGAGGATCGCAAAGCGCTGACATGGCCACCGTCCATCGCTCCTGTATCACCAGCAACACCACGGCCCTGTCGCCCCGCACGCTGCCAGCCCCAGCGCACGGCCACCGACCTCGCTACACGTACAGACTTCAGCGGGCTAGTGGACAGAGCACAGCATTGGGACCAGGGAGCCCTGCTCCCACCTCTGCCACAGGGTGACCTTGGCCAAGCCCTTTCCTGCCCCGTGCCTCAGTTTCCCCATCTGCACAATAAGGATAATGACACTGTAAAGTGCAGGGGGGGATTATTACACAGCCCAGCCCAGCTCTGCGCCCCCCCCCCACACGTTCTCCCACCAGCAGGTCTGCGCCCCCTGAATGGGGGGGGGGAAGAAGAAGGCACTGCTGTGGTACAAGCTCCCCAGACTGTGCCCCCTCCCACAGCCCCTGGGGATCTGGGCATCTGCTCCTGCATGGGGGGCACCCGGCTTGCTCCAGACAGTGCCCCTCCTCTGCCCCCCCGGGTCACCACCAGGGCAGGATGCCTGGCAAGGACTATCCCCAGCCCAGGCTGGCCAGCCCCGCACCCTGGCTCTGGCCAGCCCCAGCCCCATGGGGTCTGTGTACTAGTCAAAGACACCTCCAGGTGCGCCCTGGCTGGGCAGCCCCCACCCCCCTGGAGGGGATAGAGCTGCCCCCTTACCTGACCTGACAGGTGCCGCCCAAGGTCACCCAGGGAGTCAGGAAAAGAACCCAGGAGTCCGGGCTCCCGCTCACCACTAACAACACTTAGCTCTTAGGGGTGACTCCGGATTGACCCTGTGGGAACTGAGATCCGAATCCGGCCTGATTCCATTGCGGTGGGGGGTGACTCCGGACTGACCCTGGACAGACTCTGCCCCCGACACTGGGGCCAGTCTGGGTTTCCCACTGGAGGCTGGATCTGGCCCGGGGACCCCACGAGCGGATCGGAGAGTATACAGGGAGCGAACCCCCCCCCGCGCGTCGGTGAAGTTCGGGGGGGGGGCTGCAGGGCCAGGCAGCCTCCTGGGGTAACAGACGTGACCGTGCG